AATATAATGTCCTCATATGAGGCCGCAGGGTCTTAAGAGGTTAAAAGTAGTTTATCCAAAATTAAAATCTTGATGTACTTTACCTCAAGTTAATTTCATTCCAAACCTATATGGCTTTACTCTGTGGAACACAAAAGATGATATTTTGAGGAGCTATATTTGTCCAAACTGTGAAAGTCAATGGGGTCCAAAACAACATTGGACAATGAAATATTTAGTTTTGTTCTCTACAGAAAAAAATATGTCATACAGGTTTCGAATGAAATGAGGGTGAATCAATAATGACGTAATTTTAATTTTGGGGTGAATTATTCCTTTAAGTATTAAGTTGTGAGGAACTGTTTGTTCGCCCACCTCCAAAATCCCAATTTAACTTGCTTGTCTACGTTTGCCAGTGAATTGTTTTTCTTCGGTTGTTCAACTTTTAGTTTCATACCTGCTTTCATTCCATTGTTTTCTTTACTTGTTTGGTTTCTAAGCCGCGCTTTGATCCGCGTGAATCGAGTTTTGTGTGATTTCCCAGCGCTTGCGAATGCGAGGAGGTGTTTGAACTTGCGTGTGCCATTATACATCTCTGTTTCTCATGCAGTTGCTGTGCTTCTCTCACAGGTATAGCACCGAACATCACGGCAGGGCCTTCCGACAGCACTGTGATTGACGGCATGTCAGTTATCCTTCACTGTGAGACCTCAGGAGCGCCCCGTCCCGCCATCACCTGGCAGAAAGGTGAACAACACATCCTTCATTGTCTACACTCACACATTTCAGAAGATCAACTACAAAGTGTTAGCTCCCAGGCTGCACTTCACCTCTGCGCCTCTCTGTTCCTCTGTTTTACCTGCTCTGGCTGGTTATTTTCTCCCACTCTATTGCACTGTTTTGCTGCAATGTCGCCATGACATGTTATACTCTTCGGATGTCATCAGGCATGAAAGTGATTGTGTGATTCGAAATAGGCTACAATTATGCAAATCTACATTTAAAAATCTTGAATGTATGTACAATACAGTTCAAAAGTTTGAGGTCTGCAAGATTTTATAATGTTTTAAAAAGAAGTCTCGCCAAGCTTCAAAGTCATTGTAGAAGCTTCAAATACATCTTTAACCAGAACCATCTGAAATATAAGATATTTGTTGCCACAAAATTAAGATTTTGTAAGGAATAATTGTATAGAAGACCGACAAATTAGAGGAGAATGTCCATCCCCAGCACCGTGCTTTACATTTCATGCCAGAGCAGAAGGATAGTAAACAAGCGTGCCTGTGGCTTTAAAGGATTAGTTCACCCAAAAATGAAAATTCTGTCATTGTTTACTCACCCGTCTGTTGTTTCGAACCCATATGACTTTTTCTGTGGAACACAAAAGAAGTTTAAAGGAATTGTTTCGGTCCCTCTTGTCCATGCAATTATAATGAGCGGGAACTGAGGCTGTCAAGCTTAAAAAAGGATGCAAAAGCAGCTTGAAAAGTAGTCTATATGACTCCTTACACTTTAGTCCAAGTGCTCTGATACCATTGTGTGAG